AGCTTTCTTATTTCACAAACAGTAAGCTAAACAACAGTGTGATCATGTGTTTGTAAATTCATATTCATGAGCAGCAATGTTTATGGACCTCATCCTTGCTCCCTCTGGATTTTTAACATCATATTTCATAAGGAGACAGGCATGGATTTTGTTTTATATTTATGAGTGTGACTTTGATGTGTGACTTTGGAGATTTTCAGAAGATTCTAACATTAAGTGTCTAAGGAACTTTGTTACCTAGACTGCGTAGGATAAGCTGCTAGCTGCTGTCATGGGCAAGTGTGAACTGGGAGCTGGGAAAGCTGGCCACAAGCCACTGCAGCTTTGGAGAGCGGGTCTCAAGGGAGACCCTGCAGCCCATTGCGTAACATTAGCAGAGAGAAAAATACAAGCTCTGTCCCCATCACTTGTTTTCCATTTTGATTTAGTTCCTTGGCAAAGTCTTGGTGTCCTGTAGTGGAGGAATGAAAGACAAGCAAGTTCCAAAGAGGGACTGGACCTCTGAGGGCATCAGCCAGTGCATGATTTGTGGGGTTGGGCCGGGGTTAGATTTCTAATTGTTGTTGGGCTGGGGGACTAGAATTTCCAGGGACAACCTGAAAAACATTGTAGGATAACTTGCTATTTTTTCTCCAAAGGAAGTTCTTTCCCCTTTCCTCCCTCAACATTGTGTGTTCCTTGAGATTGATAATACTGATGCTTTAAAATATCACGGCTATTGGGAGGGACCATTTTATAGCAAAATAATTTCCCTACACGTTCTATGATACTTTCATTTGGCAGTATTGTTTACAAGGTCTTAAATCAGAAGCAGCACCGGTTCCTTCAGGGGAAAATGATCCAAATCTACCAAAGTAAAAGCCTAACAGACTCTTAATTGTTCCTTTTCCCACAAGGGGGTTGCTTTTATTGAAGGTGTGGATAATCTTGACAGGACCCTTCTCTATCAGGTTTAGTGACTGGGAGTTACCCTTCCCCCTGGGAAAAGCTCATTTAAATCTAATTTTTAAAGAGACTTCAAGCGTCTTTGAAAATAAAAGTACTTTGAGCATTGAAGTGCTTGGGTATATCTCCATTCTCTAGTTCCCTCCCTCTCAGCATGTTGACTCTAGTTTTCTGACAGGCACCTCCTGCTGCAGGATGCAATCCTAAATTTTTCTGTACTGCCTGCCACTCAAGCTAAATTAGAAAAGATTTCAGCCTTACAGATTTTATTTCCACTTGTTGTGGAAAATTAAGTAAATGTAAACTTGAGGGCAAGAATTTTCTCATTTCCATCAAGCTTACTTCTATAAATTTTACAATAGCAAGATTTTTTTTCAACCTCACCTTTGCCGAATCTCCTTTCCCTCCTTTAACTAGAGGTATAGGACCGTTCCTTTCAGGACTTCTCTGGGTCAGCTGCTCCAATCCTGGGAGCTTAGAAAAATATCCTTGTGTGGGACTAGAACATTTTTTCTCCTTCCATAAAGGTTTTCAAATCAAACCACGTCTTTTTATTCTCTGTTTGTTGATCTCTGACCCTTCCTTCCAAATCTTACAGCCCATGATTGGGCAGCCCCTGCAGAAGGCTCCTGAGCCACCCATCACATGAAAATGAAGGCAAGCAAAGAAAAGGGCCAGATGGCATCAAAAGATAGGGCTTTCTAGGTCGTTGGTGGTTAAGCTCGCAATCTGGTTACCAGCAGGGAGATTATGGGGAAAAGGGTGGAGAGAGCAGCCCATTGTAAGGGAAGAAGACTTTTACTGCACTGTTCTTGCTTGAAGAATTTACTGCAAAGAGAAAAACTCCCACATTGATGCAACTGGATTTTCTAATTTAACTCTTACAGTTCAGAGTCATGGGCTATGCACTGTCTTGGAAGGACGCATTTGCTTAAGTGGCACATAAGCACAGGTGGGCAACTTCATGCAGAATTTAAACAGTGACTCTAAAGAGTGGGGCTCCATCTTGGTCAGGTGCTGCCCTTCAGCTGCCATTGACCCTTTGCCAATATGGTCTTCAAATGCCTGGTCCTCTAACAGAAACTGGTGGAGATGCCATTCATTACCCACAGGGAAGCAGAGGACATCACTCACCACTTATCCCTCCACACCACTGTCTGCACTTCGGGGGACTGTAGGTACAGGGCATGTAAAATGGGCAGCTTGGTCCTTTGGGAGATGTGATATCTCAGGGTATGTTTTTTGTATCTTGAGGCAGATTTATAATTACTTGAGTGCTTATTTATTTTTAACTAAATTAAAAATAATATTTGGGAGGGCATTCTGCCTTTTCTGTTCATTGGGGTATTGAAACCTTGATTCCTTTGGCCTTGGTAGCTCTTGATTTGATGATTGTGCTATTCCAGGCCTCCAGATTGCTTGGCCAGAATTGCCTGCCAAGTTGTTTTCTTTTGAATGAAAGAAACTAACGTATTTTTAGTTCTCAATTTTAACTTGGTCCCAATTTATGAATTTGGACCCTTTCCCCTGCTTTTGACAACCATGAAAACTCTTTAATTAGGCACATCTAGTCCTTTAAGCTCAAAGTTTAATCTCTCTCTCTTTTATAAGTCATGTCACTCTCTTTTTAAAAGAATCGTTTGCCCTCGATACCTGTGTGACTTATTTCAATATGAAACAAATTAAGCAAAATAGGTATTATTTTGTAGGCTATAAACTGTTGGAGTGTTTACATTTCTTTCTTTCTTTATTAACTATTCTTGCTGAAGCAAGTGTCGGGAGCAGTGCTGGGTAGGTAAAAGTCATGTAACAAATACACAACTCACAGAAGGGTTGACAGATTTTTAAAATACAACATGGGTATTTTAACATTCTTGATTGGTTTCAGTCTAGGTTAACAGAAAATTGACTTGCTCTTTTTTTCTCTTAGCTAAAACTACTGAAGAGACCTTTTGAAGTTCCTAAGCCAGAAAGTAAAAGATTATTATTTCTTGTGTATACAGAATGTCTGGGTTTAAGTAATTTGAACAAAATCAACAAGCTCTTCTTGGGGCAACTCGCTTTAAAAAAATTATTTTTAAATTAATGTTGTTGATAATATACCTGGTAAAACATGTATCAATCCAATAATTTCTACACGTACATTCAATGGCATTGATTATGCACTTCAAGTTGTGCTACTCATTACTTTTTGCTAGTTGCTTTGCTAACTCTCTTAGCTGCCTGAATTCAGAACCCCCTTGGGAGAACCTAATTTTTAGCAAGAGATCTGCCAGTCTCTCTCCACCCTTCATCCATGTCATCATATACTTACAGTTGGGAGGCATGTGCTATGTTAATCCTAATGAAGGATTTAAAGCCACTTTAGTTTTTTTCACTCCCTAAGTGTGTGTCTTCTGGTCTTCCCACAGATAAGACTGTGTGATCATGTGAGATTCCTCACCTGAGAGATTTCCCAGTTGCCAGAGAAAATTCTGCTAAAAGTTTGATGAATTTGGGTAGCACAGGTAGGGAAATAGAGTGACTTTGAAATTACTAAATCTCATTAAAGGAGATTTGTTGATATACCTGTCATTTAAGCAAAACAAAGCAACAACAACAAAATTAGTATTGAAACCTAGGTTTGTCAAGTTTCAGGGAGAACCAATTATGAGAACTAAGTTATTGAACTCAATAAAGAGAATTGTAGTGAATTGTCGTGGACCTCTAACTCTAGCTGGGCTAGTGGTTGCTGGACGAATCTTGAGTGTTCACTAGTCAAACCTGTGGTCGAACTACCCCTGCGTATCAGTGACATAAATCAAGTGCTTAGCAAGCCTTCTCTTGCTGCTCTTGCAAATTTCACTTGATATAATTTCTTGAATATTAAGATATAAAATATAATTTGGTGAGTGAGCTTGTAAAACCATTTTGGCTTTCGTTGAGAAAACGAGGACATCGTTTATTCTTGGTCTGTTTTTGAGAGTTGCTAAAAGTTCTGTTTTATCTCTTTTAAGGAGATTTTTGAAAATTTTCTTTTCTGATCTGGTAACTGTTGAGTTATGTCATGCCTTATGAAACATGGACCAAAGATGTGGACTGGTATTATGTACCCAGAATTCACTCTGATCATTGTGATCATAGTTCAGTGGCGTCAAGGGGAAGGTAAATTCACGAGGCTTCCTGGTAGCATTTTCAGCAGAAATTTCCCCCAACTCCAGAATTTCCCCGAAGATAGATGGATTGGAAAATGCAGTGATTGTTAGTCAAGAATTTTTGTCAACTTTTGTATTTGTTCACCCACCCACCCACCCTTGTGCAGGAAAATAGAGGGGAGTGGTAAGAGAACCAAGGAGAGAGAAATAAAAATAAAAAACTAATAAGCTGGTACACTTAGATACTAGGAAACAGGGCACTGTTGTATAGGTACTTGCTTCACTGGCTAGAATTGACCACATATTCTGCCTAACCATACTCTAGCCAGTCACGAAATTTTGCTGTTTCTGTTGGGTTGAATTACAATTTTTAATAGTGATAAATGGTTGAATATTAGAAAATTCATATGGTTTAACTTGATATCGAATAACATGTAATGCTGTAACATATAGCAGCTATAGTTGTAGAAAGGTGTGTGTGTGTAGAAGGTGTGAGGGATAAAATGGAAATATGTGAGCATTTTATACCCCCTGGGGGCAATCTCTACTCTGGCAAGTGACTTAAGGCAATGGAAGCAAATACAAGTGTCCTAGTATACTTTCCCCCTCTGCATTTGTGTGGTTGGGACAGTTGATAGGGTAGTCTAAAAAATAAGCCATCTCCGATAGAGCTTTCCATGGGGGATAGTAATCTAAGGCGACCGGTATTTGAAGAGTATAGCACAAATGGTCAAGACCGAAAGACAAGCATGCCTGTGCTTGTAGCACTTTGAAACAGAAGGATTAGAAGTGTAGGAAGATGGTTATAGGCTGATTAATGTTCAAATTGTTTCTCTGAAAATAGGTTTTCGGTTATTTCTCATGTGATTTCCAAGTTGTGCTGATTATTTGATCTTTATTTTTTTATTTTGTCTTTCTTAGACGAGCTCATCTTCGCCTGTGTTTAGAACGCTTAAAAGTTCTGATTCCCCTAGGACCAGACTGCACCAGGCACACAACACTTGGTTTACTCAACAAAGCCAAAGCACACATCAAGGTGAACATTTTTACCTTCATATTTTGCACCTGGTTCTCTCAGTTCTGGTTTAATTATTAACAATGATACCTGTTCTTACACATCTGCTAGCTCACCATGCTCTCCATAATAACTGACCTCAAGAGAAATATTTCTAAAAACTTATCAGCTAATCTAATGGAAGCAATGTAACCTGATTAAATTGTTTTGACTGCATGGGTATGTGAAGAGCTGGAAACACTAGGACAATAATAATTACCCTCCCGATGTTCAGAAGAAAGGCAGTTGTGCCCTCTGCTGGAGATGACGTCACTTGACTGCATCCTGCCAGTATTTTTCCATCCATCCCACAGCAAGCACACTGCAGAGGAAGTTTCTCCTTTGTGGAGATTACAGACTTCAAGGAGTACATCTTGTTCAAATAATGTAGTTTTCATTACACAATAAAATTAAAGACCAAACTCTTTTTTTAACCATACACACATACTTATATAGATGTATATTTATATGTTCTCTGCCAAAGAAACTGTTTTGAGATGTTACATAGAAATCAGTAAGATTAATTGTAGTGGACTAGTACAAATGTAAATATCATTTTATCTTTTTAGAAACTTGAAGAAGCTGAAAGGAAGAGCCAGCACCAGCTTGAGAACTTGGAGCGAGAACAGAGGTTTTTAAAACGGCGACTGGAACAGCTACAGGGTCCTCAGGAAACGGAGCGAGTACGAATGGATAGCATTGGATCAACTATTTCTTCAGATCGTTCTGAGTCAGAGCGAGGTAGGCAGTGTGCCTCTTTTCTAATGAAACATGATACATCTGTACACTAACCATCTCTGTACAGTCATGAGCCACATAACATCTGTTCGGGCAATGTCTGACCTCATATATGTCCGCCTTGCCATAAAGTTATAATACCCCTCCACCCCCAAACTCAGAACCAAACCACTGCCATCAAGCTCATTCTGACTCGATGTAACAATGGTACCAAGGAGCAGGTGGCTTCATCGTTCTCCTGCAGAGCAGCTGGCGGACTTGAACCTCCAACCTTATGGTTAACAGTCAACGCTTACCCAAACAATGCCACCTGATCTCAAGGTTATGATACAGTCCACAGATCCTGATCAGAGAGTGGGGCTGTAGCATACACATGTATCCCATGACTGTTGCATACAAAGTGATTGTGATGTCAAATGTATAATGAATGGTACAGTGTATAGATAACCTATAATGCTAAACACCTGTGTTACTGGTTTATGTATATGCTGTACTTTCTGTTGTTAGTCTTATTTTAATTTTTTTAACATTTTGTGACATAGGTGGGGGTTTACATTTCAGATAATTTTTCATACAAGAATTTAAACAACTTATCAAATCTCTCAATGGCTTGCCCTATCTATACCTCCCCCCCTCCCCCAACCTCCTGTCTACCTTTTTGTCTTTTCTTCCTCTTGTCGAATAGTATCTTTTCCCTTCACCTTAGCTAACACCGTTTTAGCCTATTGTGTCCCCTTCCCTCACTTACCCTCCCACCTCTGATAACCATCCAAAGTCTGGTTGTTGTTTTTGAGAGGAACAGGAGGTATTAAAAGCTTTGTGTCTTATATCTATAACGGTCTCATACAGTATGTTTTTTTGTGATTGACTATCTTCACCCAGTGTATTGTACTCCACATCCACTTTTGTCATAAAGTGTAACCCAGTTTCATCATCATTCTTTTAAAGATTTTTAATACTCCACAGTATTTATGTACCAAAATTTATTTATCCATTCTCCCACTGATGGGCATTTAGGCCGTTTCCATCTTCTTGCTCTTGTGGCCAGTGCTTCTATGAACATGAGTGTGCATGTATCTATTCATGCTATGACTCTTACTTCTTTAGGGCATATGACCCCAGTAAAGTAGGGGGTATATGCCCAAGAATTGTTGTGCATTTCTGTTCCCAGTTGTTGGAAGAGGGGTTGACCATACCATTTTCCACACTAGTTGTGTAGTTGTACGGTCCCACCAGTAATTTTTGAGGACTCCAATCTCTGCACCTTCTCCAGCATGTTACTTTCTGTTTTCTTTTACCTCTCCTATCAAGTCAGGTGTGAGATGTTACCTCACTGTTGTTTTGATGTACACCACTCAGGTGGCTAGTGAGAGCAAGCATTTCTTTTGTAGGTTTGTGTGCCTCTAGATATCATTTTTGGCAAACTATCTGTTCATATCTTCTGCCTGTTTTTTAATTGGATTATTCATCTTTTTCATGTTGAGATGTTGCAGTTTTCGATAGATTTTAGAGATTAGTCCATTTTTTGATATGTCACTACCAAATTCCCCGCCCCAGTCAGTATTTTGGATGAGTTAGATCCTTAGCATCCTCATTACAAGGTTTTTTGTTTGGTTGGTTTTTTTACTATCTTATCAATTTCTTTGTTTTAATGTATTGATTGTGCTCGTTTGTTAAAGTTGTCATTCTTTTTAATGTTTACATTGTCCCGTGTTTGGTCAGTAGGAACCTTTCAAATTGATTTTTAATCCCTTATAACAGAAGTCTAGGTGTCCATGGGTTTCTTTGTTTCTGATTTTATTTTGCTATGTAAGAGTTTTTTTGTTTGCTTTTTAAATTTTTAATTATTTTTTAAAAATTAAAAGATCATTTTATTGGAGGTTCTTACGATTCTTGTAACAATCCATACATCAATTGTATCAAGCATATTTGTACATATGTTGCCATCATTCTTTTCTAGACATTTACTTTGTTCCTTATTTTTAAAGTCATTTTATTAGGGGCTCATACAACTCTTATCACAATCCATACAGCAATTGTGTAAAGCACATTTGTGCATCCATTGCCCTCATCATTCTCAAAACATCTGCTCTCCACCCAAGCCCCTGGCATCAGCTTATTTTTTCCCCTCCCTCCCCACTCCCCTCTCCCTCATGAACCCTTGATAACTTACAATTTATTATTTTGTCATATCTTTTACTGTCCGACATCTCCCTTCATCCACTTTTCTGTTGTCCGTCCCCCAGGGAGGAGGTTATATGTAGATCCTTGTAATCAGTTCCCCCTTTCCAACCCACCCTCCCTCCACCCTCCCAGTATCGCCACTCACACCACTGGTCCTGAAGGGATCATCTGCCTTGGATTCCCTGTGCTTCCATTTCCTATCTGTACCAGTGTACATCCTCTGGTGTAGCCCGATTTGTAAGATAGATTTGGGATCATGATAGGGGGGGGAGGGGGCGGGGAGGAGGAAGCATTTAGGAACTAGAGGAAAGTTGTATGTTTCATTGTTGCTACATCACACCCTGACTGGCTCGTCTCCTCCCCGAGACCCTTCTGTAAGGGGATGTCCAGTGGCTTACAAATAGGCTTCGGGTCTCCACTCCATACTACCCCCCTCATTCACAATGATGTGATTTTTTGTTCTGATGATGCCTGATACCTGATCCCTTTGACACCTTGTGATCACACAGGCTGGTGTGCTTCTTCCATGTGGGCTTTGTTGCTTCTGAGCTAGATGGCCACTTGTTTACCTTCAAGCTTTTAAGACCCCAGACGCTGTATCTTTTGATAGCCGGGCACCATCAGCTTTCTTCGCCACATTTGCTTATGCACCCATTTGTCATCAGCGATTGTATCAGGGAGGTGAGCACACAATGATATGATTTTTTGTTCTTTGATGCCTGGTAACTGATCCCTTTGGCATCTCGTGATCACACAGGCTAGTATGCTTCTTCCAGGTGGGCTTTGTTGCTTCTGAGCTAGATGGCTGCTTGTTTACCTTTAAGCCTTTAAGACCCCAGGTGTTATATCTTTTGATAGCCAGGCACCATCAGCTTTCTTCATCACATTTGCTTATGCATCTGCTTTGTCTTGAGTGATCGCATCGGGAAGATGAGCATCATAGAATGTCAATTTAATAGAAGAAAGTATTCTTGCATTGAGGGAGTACTTGAGTGGAGGCCCAATGTCCATCTGCTATCTTAATACTAACCCTATAAATATATGTACATAGGTCTTTTTCCCCATTTCATACATAAATATATTTACATATGTACATGCCTTTATTTAGACCTGTATAAATGCCCTTTGCCTCCTAGCTCTTTCCTCTATTTCCTTTGACTTTCCTCTTGTCCCACTATCATGCTTCGTCTTCATTTGGGTTTCAGTAATTCCTCTTGGTTACATTACCCTTGATCATGCCCTACCAGGTCTCCTACACCCTCCTCACCACCGATTTGGATCCCTTATTGTTCCCTTGTCCCTGGGTTTGTTAACACCACTACCTTTCCCCCCTCTAGATTTCCTTTCATTCCTTGCCTTCTCGTTTTTGCTTTTGGCTCTATATTAGCCATTCAACGTCATAGAGTTCATTATTCAGTACTCCTCATGGATGATATTGTCTTATAAGCCATTCTGATTTTATTTAAAACGTGACTTCTAGGAGTAGCATTAGTTCCAAATTCCAAGGAGGTCACTAAACTTCTAGTGATCCTGAAAATCTGGTGTTTTTAAAGAATTTTAATTTCGTTCCCCATTTTCTTCTCATTCCACCTGGGACCTGCTGTTGTGTCCCTGACCAGAAAAGTCACCCCACCTCTAGAAGGGGCTGTGGTTCCAGGAGGCTAGTGGTCCGATGGTCTCGTCTCGTAACTGAGGCTTTGGTTCCATTATTCTCTTTTGTTCCAGATGAGCAGGGGCCAGTAGTTGTTCTAAGGTGGCCACCGGCTGGATTTTTTAGGACCTCAGATGGTACTCGCAAACTAGTATGTTGAACATTATCTTTATGAACTTTGGCACTCAGTTTTGAAGAATAAACATCTACTCAAAGCAGTACCAGAATTATGGACATGCCAAGTGACAGTGAAGAGTAGCAGAGATAACTCTCAATTATCCTGAACGGTGCGGGAGAAAAATGTAGAAAAAGACCAGAGTGACTGGTCTGACAGAGACTGGGAGAACCCCTGAGACGAAGAGGTCTTACCCTAAACCACCCTTCTGACCTGGAACTAAAGTCATTCTTTGAGCCACCTCTCAGCCAAACAATAGACCGGCCCATGAAATAAACAGTAGCACTGTAGAGGCACTTGGGTGTGATCCAAAATCCAAGTAGAAAGGGCAGGAAGGAGTAGAAAATGGGCTTGAAAGGAGACTGGGAATCAGAGTGGAAATGAAAAGAACTCGGACACATTGTGGTGAAAGCACAGGGAATACTTTGTGTATACACTATCGAAGGAGAAGTAATTTGCTCTGTAAACTTTTATATAAAGTACAATAAAATTAAACAAAAAAAGAAATGACCCTCAGCAGGCAGAACTTCATTGTGCCCTTTACAGTGTATTAGTTGTATGGTCTTGACAAGTCTTGTTTACTCCTCTTTAAGCCCATCCCATCTCCTAATTTCAGAGAGATTACATCTTCTTCATAAAATAGCTCCCCTCCTTCCCTCTCCCCACCCCCAGTATTCCTTGTTGCTAGGACCTGAAAACCATTCTTGTTCATAATGGGCTGTGTCCTTTCTGCATTGTTGCAAAAGATTTTCAGTAGCACCTCTAGCCCATCTGACTCAAGCGCTGTCTTTTTACATTGATTGCAGCATACTTGGTTGGACTGGGTGCCTTGATTTTATTTCACTACTGGATGAGTGTTCTGTGGTGCTGGGAAACATGAATGGCCTGGGAAGCATTATGGATATGAAGCAAGTAGTTATGAATTCAGAGAACTATTTGTACCGCTTGTTTAATCAGCTGCCTGCATTTTAAAAGCAAATCTCTAAAACTTGAAACAAGCCCTTTTGAAATCATACTTTGAAACATGAGTCCCTTTTCCTGAAGCAGCTGGGGTCAGTGCCTTGATGGGGTCCTTCTAGTCAGTGCCAAATAGGAAGCATCAGGCTCTCAGACTGCACAGATAGGACTGCAAAGTCCTGAGTTCATTCTACATTGTTTCTAAAATTTGTGTTGCTTTTTAATTACATCTAGTATCAAAGTAACAGTGGTTGGATTGTGTATATATTTAAGTTCCTTTGCTATGCATGGTTTTTGAAGTAAAAGTTGAATGATACTTTAATAAAGAGCCCTGGTGGCATAGTGGGTTAGGTGTTGGGAGTGTGAACCACTAGGTCAGTAGTTTGAAGCCATCAGCTCCAAAGAAAAAGATGAGGCTTTCTACTTCCATTAAAGATATATAATCTCAGAAACCCGTAAGGTCGCTATGAGTTGGAATTGACTTGATGGCAGTGAGTTTATGCCTTCATTATAATATTTATTACAGATGCCAGTATAATTCAGAGATTTGAAAGTCTCAGGCCCTTATTTCAAACTACAGTTAATGCAAGAAAATGGATTTGAATGAAAGCCACATCCCTACATATACTTTGTAAATGACTGGCTTATTTTGGTTACTGAATGGTCAGAGAACTTCATGATGTATGTCCTAGGAGTCTGTAGCACGATCTACAGAATGGTACCACCAATGGCTTGATAAATATTTTATATCTCCTATATTAAATTTATGCTTTTCCCTGTTTAGAGCAACCTTGATCAGAAAAGAGCATTGAAATTTAGGCTTTGGATTGATCCAAAACAAATGTTGTTTAGACACTTGGGGTTGGGATTGTTCCATAGTAAGCATGAATTTACCAGTAGGCCAAGAGCTTTCAGGTCCAGATGAACTGGCATCCAAGGGCTTGGTAACCTTGCTTCCTAAATTAAGACCACCACAATATTCGAGATATTCCCCTTTCTAAGAAGCATCCCTGTAGTCCAGAAAATGTCCCTTTAGTTCTATCTCCAGAGATGACTGATAATGAACTTGAATATATAACACTAAATACGATTTTATACCTTTCTTTTCCTGCTGTTTTTTTCAAGGTGTGCACATATCAGGTATAACTAATCTTCGCCCTTTTTTTTTTTTTTTGTCTTTGGCAGAGGAGATTGAAGTGGATGTTGAAAGCACAGAGTTCTCCCATGGAGAAGTGGACAATATCAGTACCACCAGCATCAGTGACATTGATGACCACAGCAGCTTGCAGAGTATTGGGAGTGACGAGGGTTACTCCAGCGCCAGTGTCAAACTTTCATTCGCTTCCTAGAACCCGGCAGGACACAGAGTGCAGGGCAGCACAGTCACTGGGCCAATTCAGTCCAAACAATCTCTTACATTGGGTTCATGATGCAGCCTCCTCTTTGAAAGAAACCCAACCATACTTGACAAAGGGTCTTGAAAGACCCGTATGGAAGCAAACACATAGCAAAAAGGGGGGAGAGCAACCCCAGCAGAGTATTCGGAAATCACAAACTCTAATGGCAGCAGAAAACTTGTGTGAAATTTCCTTGTTTTAATTTAGTTGATTTAAAGGAGGGCATAGGAGATCCCTCCCTCTTTCTTTTCTGGTTTGCTCATACTGCAATGAGCCAGCCTATTTAAGGATGGGTTGTGAACCCTTCCTGAGCTTTATGATCCTAAAAACAAAATCAAACCTGTAGTAAAGACAAGATGAAATCAGGCATTAATCTTGGATAGCTGAAGAGCTGTTATCACTCAGCCTGGGACAGCTGATCATGAATCCTGTGGACGATCAATTCTTTTAAAAAGCTCATTTCCTGCTCTGCAAAAGGAGAGATTCCCATGAAGCCTGTTGAAAGGGATCATCATGCAGTTCAGCGTTTTGTTGGATTCCATGCTAAGCAAGCTAACCTTACCCTGCATTGTTAGCACTAGGGCACCAAACCGCCAGCTCACCAGCCAGCCAGTACCCCTTGGCCCCTGGGCAGCATGGGGGCAGTCAGTGCATGACAGCCTTTGAGTATGAACTGGGGGCCAGGTCAAAGCTCTGCAGGCCTGTCCAGATGAGCAGGCCATGGTATGAGCCACGGCAGCATTTTTATTTCAGATTTTGATAACTGTTTGTATGTGTTGAAACCAAAATGACATCTTTTTAAAAGCTTGTCCATAAAAAACATAGATGTCTTTTTTAGTAGAAAAACACACGGGGGGGAGGGGGGGATATCATCTATTTTGATGCAGCATTTGATAATGATAAAACACCTCACACCTCATCCTGTACCGTGCACAGAATGAATGAGTTCTGGGCTAGGGGGAAAAAAAGGTCAGTGCTAAGGTTCTGTTTTCATTTAGAATCATTACCCTTTACCAGCGTTTAACCCTCTGGGACCTATAGTAGACTATCATAGTTAACATAGTTAAGTTCAGCACTTGTCTCATTTTAGTGTAAAGATTTGCTTCCATTTTCCCACAGGCAGTCTCTCTCCTTCCTCACAGTCTTACTGTGCAGGTGCTATTGTTGCTCTTACGAATATTTTCAGAAATGTTATTTTCTTTAAAGTGAAATTTCTAGCCTGCACTTTGATGTCGTGTGTTCCCTCTTTTAAAAGCGCCAATGTCCCCTTCTTGTCCTCCTCTCCCTTCTTGGATACCCTCCCCGCTGGCTGTTTGAACTTTGTATACTTTCAATAATTTAACTACCCTTAATTACGTAAAAAAAGAAAAAAAAGCTTTATGATTTTCATAACTTATTGCTGTTTTTAATGGGTTGTTAATTTCAGTCCTGTAGCTTTATTTTATGTTTTAGATAGGGCTGGGCAAGGAAAAAGAAAATAAAGACAACCATATTTAGCAGTGCCGCTGAGTGTGTTAATGTTAGCCTGTCCTTCGTAAGTTGCACTTTGACAGCATTCACTGCTTCTTTATCTGAAGTGCACCGCACACAGGGCCTTGCATTCACTTGTTCTTACGCTCTTCCTGTGCCTCCAGAGATAGTTTATCTTTGATTTGTGCTATATTTGAGTGGATGAGTTCTTTAGATGGGAGTGAAAAACTGCATGCCTTTAGAAGCTCATTATTCAAACCTATTATTTCAGGTGTGCGAGATTTACTGAAAAACAGATTCATTTCTGTGGCTGAGGTAAATCATTCCTGGTTTCACTACAGTTAGGCCCGGCCAGATGAAGGTGTTGCTCTCTATATTGGTTACTTTCATTTCCCCAAGCGGTATGGGAGTTTGAAGACTGTGCTAACCACCTCGGAAAGTAAATGGATGATTGTGACTAAGCCACCATTCTGTTATTCCCATGGCATTGTCTTTGGTCATTTTGCCTTGGACTAGAACTTGGGACTTTGTTCAGGTGAAGTCAAGGCAGGCAGTGCCATCTTGTTGGACCAGGTGGTACACTGGGAAGCTTTTGTTGTTCAACTGCTCCCTGAATCACGACTTTCATGAATTTATTTTCCTTGGGGGTGGATTGAATCACCAGTAAGAAATATTAATTTTTTAAAGATAAACTGACTTTGAAGACACAACAAATAACTGCAAGAAATAAAAATTGTGAATGAATAATACCTGAGTGCTTTTTGTACCTCTATGAAGGGAAAAAAAAAAAAAAGGACAAGCATTGAGGGTACATCAGCAGTCAGGAACTAATGGCAGCTCAAATTACTTGTTTTCTGTTATACATGTTAAACAGGTGTGTCCCTTACTGCTAAATCCTCATATCTACTGCAGATGGTTGTATATCTGATCATCTTAACTACTTCGGGCTAGACACAAAGCCATTTGTTATTCTGATCTATTTCCCAAATAACCTTAAGGAAACCCTTTGGTGGCACTATCATATGCTTTTCAAGTTTAGAAGTTTCTAGGTAGTCCACACTAACCTTAGAGTACCTGATAGGTAAAATGTCTACACCTGTCAATGGTTTTTATTGCCGCACCCTGGCAGTACAGTATTTAAATCCTTGGCTGCTTAATTACTGAACAGATTCTGTTAACCATTGTGACCTGAAGCTTCGGTAAGTATGAGAACTACCCTTTTCTAATACCCAAGGCAGTTGCTGCTTTTAGCATGATGGAGGGGTTTTAAAGCTAGGTTGCAAAGATTGTGACCAAGGTCCACAGTTCTGGCATCATTAAATTGTTTAGCCTCGTGGAGTCTTTTTTTTTTTTTAATGTGTGGATTTTATTTCACTCACAAAAGCAATGGCATTTCCTCATTTTTATATTCTCAAATTCCCAAACTACCCAGATTAATTTAATCAAGGTGCCTGCCAAAACCAGCATCTGGTGAGAAGCAGGTTTTAAAGAATTAGATTTAAATTGCAGTTTCAACATTGACTACATTCCATCCCAAACAGAAGTTAGTTTCATTAGGTGTCTCCAGAAATGTCCTTATATGAAAGGTGATTAAGAATTGTCAGGGCAAAAAATTTGAAATAAATTAATCCTCTCCCCAAATCTAGGAAATTAAGAGCTAAGTATTTTCTCTGAATAATGCAACATTTCAGCCAATTTGACTCAGGGGCAGACAGAAACGTGCACTTATTTTTTTGAGAGCTGTTTCTAAGGATTGGTTTAACAAAACTCCATGGCAGATTATACTTTTAGTTTTGATATGAGTTTTAAAGTAAAGGCTTTATAGGAAGATGAATGTACCACCAGTTTTAGTGATTATCTGTTAACACTCTGAAACAACATGCTGTATGGCTTACTATATACCAGTAGTAACCACTGCGTAGTACAAGCATTTTTATTTAGATTGATACTGGTTTTGTTTTTAAACACATTTCAGGTGTGTGGCAACCCCGTGCTGAGCAAGTCTTCTTAGTGCTATTTTCCCAGTATGTACTCCACGTCTGTCATATTTCATTAATTCTCATAATACCCCAAAGCTTTTCATGCTATTGCATATTGGAGACTATTGTGTAACTTAACTTTCGTATACTCTGGTAACTGTCATTTGTTTTATTGCATTATCTGCTTTATTGTGGTCTGAAATTGAACCTAGTGCCCTAGTTGTGCTATTTGGTGCAAAAAAGTGGGGGTGGCAGCCAGCAGTAATCTTCTTGGCCAGTGTAACAAGCTATAATAAAGGACGCTGGTCTTCTCGGGGATGCACTCAACAGTGCAGTTCTAAATGGATACACTGGGGGGCTTCATGGTGGTTTTGACCTTTCCAGGATGCCATGAATTAGGGAAATGCTTTTTTAAAAAGTACTGCCACCTACTGGTAATTTTGTATTATTTTCTTTTCAGAATGCTTAGTCTTCACTCCTTCGGCTGACATCGGGATATTTGATTTTAAAACTGTGAAGTTTCAATTACTACTAGGATTCGAGGATACATGCACATTCCAAGCAAAACATGTCTGTGATCAGTGGATGGTTTCCTGTAGAGTTCTTAGTAATACCCTGGCCTTTGACTTATTTGGACATTCTTTGGTAGCAAAGTGGCTGTTGGGCTGCTAACCCCACAGGGTCAGCAGTTCGAAACCCCCAATCACTCTAGAGAAAGACAAGGCTCTCTACTCTGACAGGGCAAACCCTGTCCTATAGTCAGTGTTTTGGGTGAGTCTAGTTACGTCCAAGGGTCAAATTCAAGGCAGAGGTCAACTCAGAAGGTTCTGGTTATTGTTATCTGTAATTCTAAAAGGGTTAATGGGTATCCCTGAAAGAGTTCCTGGGAGGACAAAGAACAATTTTGGAATTAAAATTTAAGAAAACGGAAAACTGCATTGGTGAGAAAAAGGCCAGGGATGCTGTGCCAAGTTACAGCCTTCACAACGGACGTGCTCATTCAAGGGTATCGGGTCCTGTTCAACCTGTTATTGCCCTTTATGGCTTTTAATTTCCAAAAGCATTTAAAAAGGAGCATTAGAGCCCCTTGCGGATGCTCACACTGCCATTTTAAAGAGCACAGAATTCTTGGGGAGGTGGGGATGGAGATTAGAGATGGATGAGTATGTCAGTTTCTTATTTTTATGTTGCTTAAGGTTTCTGATTTTTTGCATTATTTTTAAACATACTCTCACAGTAGTCATAAACGACACAAGTTGACAAAGGCACATAATAGAATCTTGTAAAAATAGAATGTTACAAAATGTCCATAAGATGAAGACAAAATATAAACTTAAGAGCAGTTATTTCTAAATTAACGGGGTTATTGAGCTCTGAAACCCAGCTAGGTCCACTAAACCTGACAGTGCTTTGATGAGGAACACACCACCACCAGGCAAGAGAGCCAGAGATATCCTTACTCCCCTCTTGCCGACCACTTCTGAGCAGTTACAATCGGACAGTTACTGTCCGCACTAGCCTCGCTATCGATTTCCGGCTTTAACTCTAGCTCTCACACAATATGAAGCCCTCTCTTCCAGGCCTGAATGTTTCTGCAGTCAAATGTGCTGCTAAAGCTTTGAATCAGGCTATAAAGGGCAAGTAGATTTTGTCACAGGGCTCCTTTTAGCACACGCATCTTTTATTTCCTTGGCTAACCTACACGTTCTTTAGAATGTCCATAGCTACTTGCTTTTACGATGCTTTACAGGAGAAAACACATAGATTCAATTGTTTTTGTTTGTCATACCTGTGGCTTTCCTCACAATTTTCCTCTCCACTGTAGTAAAAATTCAGGTTAATTTGTTCCTATTTCAGCTAACATCCCAACTGAAGCAAAGTCAAAACGTGTAGTCTTCCTAATTTAGCTAATGTAACTCCCGCTGCAAAAGCCAAACGGCCTTTACATGGAACTAAAATAAGGTCTTTTTACTAGGCCGGTGCATCAGAATCACTGGTGTTTATGAAAAATAGATGTCTTAGACAAGTAATAGGTCTCAGGGAAGACCCAGATCTACAAATTCCTTTCTCAAACAGAGATGATGTTAATATAAAAACATTGATCTTCCCTTTTCTGTTCACGACTATGCTCAAGGATTTTCTACTTTTAAAATGTCAGGGAAACCACTATCATAGACTTATTTTAGAGCTCTGGTACTTTGGTAGCATTTCAAAAATAAGGGGTCACATACGCAAAGGTGCTATTATTCTTACAATTTCCATTCTGCATAGTAATAGCAAACACTTCTAATAGTGTTTACCACGTACTGGGTACTGTTAGGCACTTTACACACACCTCATCAAATCCTTAAAACCCATGTAAAATTATGATTTCCGTTCTACAGATGAAAAAGTTGAAGCAGAGTTCTCTTTGTTCAAAGACCTCTCTCATTAAGACATTTTTTTAACTCTGTAATTACTGCTGATCTTCCAGGCATTACTGTTCTTCTCTGAGTAACTAAGTGAAGTATCAAGTTTTGAGAAAACATATACAACCCAAGTATTTTAGTACAGATCACTATTTAACATTTCAGCCTGTTAGTTTCAGAGCATCAAGTACCCTTTCTTGATAAGCAAGAGAAAAAAATACACTAAAAATTTTAATGAGTTCCTATTTGATTTTAAGAATACAAATCAAATCCCTCTCTGTTGAGTCGATTCCAAATTGTACCTTCATGTACAATGAAAACATTTAAAATGCCTTGGATCACATAATTTTCATTAAGCATCTTCCCAAATTACATGCATTAACAGGTAATCTCCCCAAGTACCCTTTTAGCCCAGGCACCATCATCCTAGATTTTCTAAAAGACCACATCCAAATCTTTGAGACAAAGGATCCTGATCTCATCCTATTTTCAAAATGTTTTATATGGGGGTGGTCTTTTTCCTTCTGCAAAGACCTCAGAAAAACAATGTGCAAGAAAGGCCCATGGGGTCAGAGGTTCAAGTCTCAACAACAGCCTTTGATTAAACTATGGAAAGTTGTATCTGTAAGAGCCCCCAATAAAAGGATTTTTAAAAACCCCAATAGCCTTGCCCTCACAAACACTAGCTAAACGATTCTAATGACTATATCAAGGTAATCTCATCAAAGGCCATTTGGTGAAGCCATAAAATTAAAAACAAATGTATTTTGTTTTATTTAATTCAAAGGATACCCTGGCAAATCCTTCAAGGCCCCTACTGATTTAGTGTGCTCGTATGATGCATTTTAAAATAATTAAACTAATAGATTTTATTGAAAAGGCTTCCAGGATAAACAGCCCATTTTCAACTATTGTCTAACCTGGTATTTAAACAATTTTTCCACTTTCTACCACAATTAGAGAATAAAATCTCTTGGTTGGGAGTGATGTGACAGATGGGGAATTCTATCTCTTATATCTTCCTAAGTTTCATTCTTATTACCCCCCCCCCCCCCAGTTCATGAAATAAAGTGCTATTTTCCCCTCCACCAAAAATCTTCAAGCACCTCTATACACAGCACAACCCTTAAATAAAACTGGTTTGTATTTTAGGTTCAATTTCTTCATTCTAGTGGATTCAAGGAGTGATTGAGATCTTTATCACAGATGCAGTGATCTTTTCTGCCGCAATGCTGTGTGCAGGTTCACGATGGCACAGCCTACTTTATCAACACTGTCGGCTAGAGTTCACCCTCTGGTTAACACACCCTAGAGATTTTAAAAGCACTTTAATAAAAGTTAAACATACAAAGCTGAAATTAAACACATTCTAAAAATTACCTTCTCCCATAAATGGGATGACCATTTTCTATGCATGTATTTGGCATAAACTCAACTCAGGATTGTGATGTTTGTTCACTTACACCAAAAAAATGCTGACAACTTGATCTAGTTAATAAAAATTACAAACTCAGCTACATTAACATAATATACAGGAAAATTATGGTCATATTAATGCACAAGAAATACAGATTTTTAATGAAAACACTCAGTACTCTTGTTCATTAATTTAGCCTTGGTTTTTTCTTTTTTTTCCTTTTTTTTTACAAAAATAATATCTACAGAGTATACAGGGCTATACATTAGCTTTTTGTTTTCCCATATAAACATTACACATACCCCCCAAAAGGTATCACTACCTAAGTGAAAAATCAACACAGCAAAATAAGCAAATTTCAAAAAAAAAAAAAAAAGGTAGAGGGTCCTAAACAGTTTCTTACATCAAACTCATGAAATGAGTTGAATCACTTTTAGGGAGGGCCTAATAAGTATGACAAACAAGTTACTGAAGGAAAACCCCCTAAACAAATGCTGCCATTCACAAATTAACTTAGACTTAATTGGACAACAGCTAGGTCTAAGTTGAGGGCAAGGGGAAAAAAGGATAAGCTCTCTTTAGCAGACTGATGTTTTTACCTGGAAGTTCCAATAAATGCTAAATTATGTAACAGGCTCAAAGAACCTGAGAAGTCCAAAGTTTGACTTTCAAAATAAGAACAGACCATTGGTTGAACAGGGACCTGACATCAGGAAGATCAACCACTCATTTGGATGCTGCACTTAAGCAGTGTCTACCTCCAAAGTCGCTTTATTCAACACATGGTAAGGGAGTTGTGGTAGTAGCAATGAAGTTTAAATGAACAGCAGTTATCAATTGCAATTTCTTCATGTTTCATTCTATCGAAGTCAGTGATGACACTGGTATTCTTCCTTGCTCATCTAACAAATAATTTACCTTTAGAAAAATATAAGGATTAAAAAGGTAAATGTAAAGCCCTGCAGAGATGAAATCCAACAGTTTTTCCGATTATTGAGGCATCAAATGCCTGACATTGTATTTAGAAGTATCCTGATACTGTGTCATTGGTTTATCTGCAATCCCACAAGTTCCAACTCCCACTTTGCCAGTTACACTCTCGGGTGAAGCAAAAATACTCCTCTTTACCTGGGGAAATAAAACAGAAACAGTCCCTGATTAGTTTTAGGCAAAAGCAAAGCAAAACCCCCAAACCACCAATATTCATTCACATTTTAAGTCATAATAAAAATATATTCGACTTTTAGTCTTTAAAAAAAGGGCACTGTGTCTGATTTGTTCAGTGTCCAAAAAACGAGTGCTGATGATGGTGCCTAGCTATCCAAAAATACAGCATCTGGGTTCTTAGAGTTTTAGTTAAACAACCAGATATCTAGCAGAGAAGCAACAAGCCCACATGGAAGCAGCACACCAGCCTGTGTGATCATGAGGTGTTGATGGAATCAGTTAACAGGCACCAGAAGACTCCAAACAAAAAACATATTGTTGAGAACAAGGGGAGTCAGAGCAGAGACCTAAAACCCATCTGTAGACAATGGGACATCCCCTCACAGAAGGATCACAAGGGATGAGTCAACCAGGGCGCAGTAAGCACCGATGAAACACACTATTCCTCTGGTTCTTTAAGGCTTCCTCACCCCCCACTGTCATGACCCCAGTCCTGCCTTTCAGTTCTGGCTAGACTGAAGAATGTGCACTGGTACAGATAAGAGCTCACAACAACCATTCCAGGTCAGATAAACCCCCCAGTAACAGAAATGGGAGTAGTGATACCAGGAGGGTAGATGAAGGTGGGGAGGAGGGGAACCCAATCACAATGATCAATGCATAGCCGTCCCGTCCCGCCCCTCCCCCCCCTTGGGGACTATAGAAACATGTGTAAAGGGAGACTACGGTCAGTGTAAAATATGAAAATAATAATTTATAATTTATCAAGTGGTCAAAAGAAGGGGGCAAGGAGCTGATACCAAGAGTTCAAACAGAAAGTAAATGTTTAGAAAATGGTGATGGCAACCTATGTACAAATATGCTTGATATAATTGATGTATGGATTGTTAAAAGACCTGTAAGAGCCTCCCATAACATGATCTTTAAAAAAAGTGCTAAAATGGTATCCAGCTAGAAGCCACTAACTTACAAGCTGTTAATCAACACACACTATTGATACACATCTGCCTTCAGATATCTCCGTATTTTAGGTTTGCAGACTCAAATCCCAATTTCAGCCATGACAACCACAGACCAGCATTCTGCTGTACTGAATGAACTGCTATGCCGGTGGGGGGTGAGCCTTAGGCTGCCTACCTGTGGGCCCTTTGGCCTTCGGGGACCCTGATGGCAGCAGGGTTAGCACAAGGTTAACCGTTAAAATTCACCAGCTGCTGCTCTGCCTAAAGACAAGGCTGTCTGCTACCCGAAATACTCAGTCTCAGAAACCCAAGAGAGCTTTACTCTGCCTTACTGGGTCAATTTGAGGTCAGTGTGTATTTGGTTTGGGCCCTTAAGTTACCCTGGTGGGAGTAAAAATATGGGTGAAAAAGTCAGGTTGCCCTTACTCTGAACTGTTATGAATGCTATGGATATTTTTCTATCCAACACACATTTAGAAGGAAAAATACACCAAGGGAACCCATTCAGTACTCTCTTTGAGTCTAGCAAAGAGCTAATAAAAAATTACCTTTTGTAATTTCTCATGTACGTAAATTCAAAATGCTTATAACTCAGAGATAATGGCTAAAAGATTTTTTTTTTTTGCCTCAGTAAATCAAACTGAGGGTAGGAGGGATTCTGAATTCAAAGCTGATTATCACATGTTTTCTTACATGTACATACCTCTCCCTTTTCGATTAGAAATTCCACTAATGACAGATGTACTTTCAAATGTACAAGGTACTGATGGGAAGGGTCTGCTCACCTGGCCTTTTTTGTTCTTAGAATAGGCTCTGTTGTTGAACTGCTGCCACTTCACCTTCTGGTCCTCGCGCTCCTGCTCAAGTTCTTTTATCCTCTGCGCTTTCTTCAGCGCTTTCTTCTTTTTATACTCACGCTGCTGGGCGAGCATTTCTTTTCTGTGTCGGAGAGAGAGAGAGAACTCCTACCTCAAGACCTAAATACCCCCCTTTGAGAAATTAGCAGTGCAAATTAAAAATAGGCTCATACACTCTTTCCATGAATAAAAGCACCAACTCATTAAGACCCATGCCATTCGCCCCCAAACTATTTAAAACCAAGGGTTGTTTTCTTTGAATTCTAGTACGGAATATGCTTGGGAGTTTTAAACATAACTAACCTCTTATATGTAAATCACATAGCCTAACTATGATGATTTTATTTTGCTTTTTACATAACTTAGCCCATTGTGTTTTAGGAATGAGTTTTAATATTAGTGCAGGTCTAAATCTTTGTCAGTTTCTAATTAGATATACCAGTAAAATGATCAGCATCTGGACATAAATATATGAATGCGTATCTATATAAAATAAAAATTGTAAAAACTGTACTTTTCTTAACCTCTCTGGTCCCAGCTTTAAAAAGAACAAAGCAAACAAGCATTTACTCAGCTCTTCCTGCATGTCAAGAACTGGGCTACATGGTTTACGTCTGCTATCATCTATCTAATCCTCAATCAGGTAGATACTACTATTGCCCATATTTTACAGAGGAGAAATCCGAAAAAGGTTAAACAGCTTGCTCAAGGTCATAATGCCAGATAGTAACAGAGATGGGACTAGAGCCCACATTTAATTCAGTATCACCACCATCTAGTTCTTCATCTGGCTTACTCCTCCCCTTCTCAGATCTCAAGTGACATGTCAGTTTCTCAAAGCAGTCTGCCCAAATCACTACCGTGCAGGTTAGGCACCTCTTCTGTGTGCTCTAAAGTACCCATGTTTCCTTCAGAACTTATTGCAAATGCTTATTTAATTATGCATTTTCTTCTCTAGATTTCAAACTCAGTTGGGCAAGGCCCAATTTGGTATCTCTGTATCACCCACTGTAGTGTAAACTCCCAGCAGCTGGATTCATGCCAAGTACAGTTAAAAATGCCATCGGCACCAAGTAGCTCCAACTTGGGTGACCCCTTCCTGTCAGGCGGAAAGTGCGCCACTGGGGTTCCAACACAGCCAATTTGGGGGCAGACCATCACCAAGGCTTTCTTCTACCGTGCCTCTGGGTGAACACCTATCTCATCGTGTAAACGGTTTGCACACCTAGGACTCTGCCAGGTGCATATAAGCCTCTCAATCAATATTTATGTAATGCCACAGCGCGAATCCAAATGTCTTCACTTTGCCCAAGCATTTAGACCCTATTTCAAAACAAAACCCACTTCCATGTGGTCAAGTCTGACTTTCCGCAACTCAGGACAAAGAACAGGCCCCGTGGGTTTTCAAGGTTGTCAATCCTCATGGGAGCAGAGAGCCTCATCATGCTCCTGCGGATTGGCGGGTGGGGGACCCGCTAGCAGTCCAATGCATAACCCACACGCTACCAGGGATCTTTAGTTAATCCTGTATCTTCAAAACAGTAGAATCTTGGGATTTTGGCTTTCTCACCTCGCCTGAACAGACCGTCTTCAGAGACCACACAAACTTCTCAAATGGGGAAGATTAGGCCCCAAAGCTAGACTCAAAGCCACTTACTTTGACATGGGCTTGTTGCCACTGTCCTCCTTCGCCTTCCTTCCTTCTTCGACAGGCTTGAGGTTCAGCAGTGGCGTCACTTCCGCATTGCCATAGCCAGCAAAGGTGATTGCAGCCGTGCCGTTGTCTTCATCGATCTCCTCGATCTCCGCTTCGTAACACCTGTAAAGATATCATGGCTGTAAGCAGGTGAGTAAAGGTTTCGTATTCAGTCTGTAAGACTTATACTGCAGTGACTCAAAAAGTACATGCGTCTAAAACGGAGGTGTTGCAATAAGATGGCCCTTTTTGCAAACACAATACAAGAGAGTAAGTACTTAGTAACACAAAGTTCTAATCAAAAGATGGCCAGGAAAGTTTCTTATACATGTCTATTGAATGTGCTTTAATCTTTGGGAGAAGAGTTTTCCTTGAGGACTAAATTCAGTATATGTGCTTCACAGAAATCTGAGAGAGCTTAATTTCAATTTAAGGAGAGAAAACACCCAATTTTCCTGTTTTCAGTTTTTTCTCCCTCCAGAATATAAGCCATTCTTCTCTCCCAACCTTAATCTAAAGCTAAAAAAAATAAATGCATTAATAGTAACCACCCAAGATTCAAACTAACTTTATAAATTGTATTAGTTTTACCCAAATAAACAAACAAAACCCACTGTCTTCTCACGAATGCAACTCAGAGTAACCCTCTACACAGTTTCCAAGGCTGTAAATCATTACAGGAGCAAATAGCCTCCACTTCTCCTGGAGCAGCTAGCTGGTGGGTTTGAACTGCCAACTATTTGCAGTTTGCAGTTCAATGGTTACCCAGTGCCAACAGGCTCCATCTTACTTAGATAGGAATACTAAAGTAGGGTAGTTCAAACTGAATAAAAACATCTTACCATTGTATTTCATTATTTCATGTTACAGTTACAGGGGTTTCTACACTTACTGTCCATCCTCACTCCAGGTTGCCATACACTTGTCTCCTACTTTCCATGAGTGCGTGGGCTGAATAGATGCAAAATTGTCGGAGCTTGTAAGCGTTTCAGAAGGTTGAGTTGAAAGAAGGTCTTTCGTTAGTTCTATAACTTCCTAAAAATGAAAAAAACAAACAAACAAACCACCACAATGATTTAACATTATTTACATAATTCACACTGTCAATGACTTTTGAGAACAAGCGGGCTCTTTCAGTTTTGCTGACAACAGCTCTTGCACCATGTAACCTCACGTGTCATTCACGTTACAAAGTGATTCTCCCTGTTTAGAGGCTGACACATCACGCATTTTATATAACTAGTAACTAGGAGAGCTGGGTTTAGAACTGTCTCCAGCCTGTGCTCGTAACTAAATATGGCCTTTCAACAACAAACACAAATACTAACTGAAACAGGGTAAAAGACTTACAGACTTTTACCAGTCATTATTTCTAAGCCCAACAGATATTTCTATAGGTGAGGAAGAAGGTCAAGTATGAGGGGCTCAACTAAATCAAGGTCAATGCTGTCAAGTTATCACTGCCACAAATACAACTGGACCCTTCCCAGGCATTCTCATGGCACTGTTAAATGCTCAATGTCATGCAGAGACACGCACGCGCACACAAGAGAAACCCTGGAAGCACCCTTAATAGTAGCACTGACTGATGCACCTACTCAGATCTCTACTAAAATATTACAAGTACATATAAAAGAAACAAGGATGTTCCTTATTCATTCATTCATTATAAAACACAACCTCCACTTAGGTAAGCAAATTACCAGGCCAGATTAAAATTTTTCCAATTAAAGTTTCTAATTGGAAACATATTAGCACAGCTTCATTTAAAAGGGGGGAAAAAAAGTGGAACACACAAGCAGGTAATACCTCTTTGTGTGACAATATTCTCTCTACTTCAGAAACGTAGTATTTCAAAAGCTTTAGGCCTAAGACAGACTGATTGTTATGACTAAGACAAGTAAGTAGCAATTCTTCTACCTACCTGCTATCTTTCTACTCTGACGAAGACGGCAACTACGCACACCCTCTCTGAGAGCTTGCATACTCTAACCCCATTGCTGCCACACAGCACCTTCAAATGGAATGTTACGTGTTTGGGGAGAAAAACTAGCCAAGCTAAACTCGGAACCAAGTTTCTTCTGGTTCTCACTGACATTTTATGATAGTAGTTGTTTTGACTCAGTAGCCAAGAAAGCTAATTATTACCTCTACTAAAACTTCAAAATCTCCCTGGCTATTTCTGGAAAGAAACAAACAAAGCCCAGTATTTCAGTGCCCTCCCAAAAGAGGAACAGCAATTAGCCCATGGAGAAAGGTCGTTTTTGTGAATGGAAAGACCAAAGATGAGCTATATTAACTAAAGATCTCAGATTTAAGAATTCAGAATACTTAAAAATTCCGTAAATATCTAATAGAATTTCATTAGTTGCCAAGTAGACATCCAAATGGTTTTTAGTAAGAGAGTAACTTACAAAAGCACAGAATTTTCAAATACATAAATCATACACTACACTGAGACTACATTAGCCAGTTTTTTTATTCAGCTAAATAATTTTTAGGGCTAAGAATGTAACTAAGCTTCACTGAAGACCCCTTATAATCACTTATTATGACACAGGGGATACACAGCCTTGTCCTGGTCCATATCAAGGAACCACTACAGCACAAATATGGATTTTGTAGATGTAGGCCTCAGATTTAGAAGGCCATTTCTCTTAGAACTTCCCACTGTATTTTTATAATAGGGAAATACATTTTCGTTAAATAAAAGGATACTGCAAACTGTGCATGTTAGGCACAATTTCAGAGCCCTGTGTTAACATTATCCTATTATTTTTGTAATTCTGAGCATTCACCCCTAATGTTCAATAAAGTTAGCCATTGCTTACAAACCTCCCCACCCACCCACCGCAAACTATGAACACTGTCTATAGTTTTTGCTTGCTACATATATACCAATATATGAAAGAAAAACTATTCCATGTATGAGGGGCTTCTTGAAGGTACATACCATTAATTACTTTTCCTCCCCCAAGTCTGAGTTCTGAAACTGCTCCTTCATTGACAGATGGGCAGCAGCATCAGGTGTTGTGATCTACATATCAGCAGGTCAAGGGGGGTGCACTCAAGCACTCTGCTTACTGAAGGAAGGCGTTTCGGGGATGCAGAGAGCCACTGTAATATATGAGACAAGTGACTTGACCCCTGCCTCCTTTAGAACCAGTTTATTCAGCAACACAGCCTAATATATTGAATAGTCTTGTAAATACCACAGACTGCCTTGGGAGCTAGTCAGCTAGTGGATTTTTACTACACCCACTTTTTTTAAGTGAAAAAAGAAAGATGGGGTTCCAGTAGACTGATGTGCAGCCTGCTGAGTAACTTTTTTCTACTCAGGACAGGTCACAGATCAATACAGGAACCTTACTGGCAAGTCAAAGCCATTGAAAAAAAAGGAGAAAGGGCACTTTTCTGTAAAACAAACTGCATAATTCTACAAGAGAAATAAAGGAAAAGCAGAAAACAAGACAGTCAAAAAAAATTAAGAAAATACGGAGGCCGCAACTCAGTAGTGAGGAACCAAGTCTCAAGAGACTTTTCTCATCAAACGTAACAGGAAGAATGCAATACTGTAAACCATACAAAAGCTGGAACCAGAGTAAGGTGGAAACCTATCAGATAAGGAAAAGGCAAGTATTTACCAAAAGTAGAATGAAATAATGCCACAGAGCTGCCCCTTGCCAAAGGCGGAACCCTTGCAAGACCCAGACAACAGAGCAGCCCCAGAGTTCCGGCTCTTACAGGTTTCACTGTAATAATGGCCCAGGTGTGCTCCAGAAGGCAGAGACGAGACAACAGCAAAAAAACAATCTGGCAGAAGAGAGCCTCTAACTATAGACTCAAGACAGTAACTATTTTTCTGAATCCCATCCGATTTTAAAAGTGCCTTCTGCATTTGTGTAGTTTTTATTAGAGAAAAAAAACGTTGCATGGAAAAAACTGTTATCAAGATTAGGCAATAATAGTGGTCTTTATAATTGCCATCTCAAGAGTTAGAACTTAAGCTTCTAAATCTGTGCCATCCAGTGTGGCTATTGACTGACATAGCATAAAACCACAGATCATCAATCACACTAGCCACCTGTCACACAGCTGGCACCCGTGGTCAGTAGCAGTGACTGTGAATTGGACAGATACGATTTCCGTCATCACAAAAAATTCATCTGGCTACCACTACTACATGAGCATAGGCAAGAGGCTGGTTGACAGATGAATGTCTCCCAACTTAGCTTTACCGGAACCCTAGGAAAGCCTATGTTGCCGATTACAAAGCTTACCAACAATGGTCTCTCTCTCTCCCCCTACAGCGTTTTTCATTGGGCATTTATCACGTCGCATTTCCGCAGCAATTTATCTTAAAAGACTTATTCTAGAAATATTAAAATCTCATGCTATTTCAACCTCCCCTTCTCTCTCCGCCACTTCCACATGTACCTCTCCTACCATATGCAATATTGGCATATGATGTTTCATTTTCTTCACAGTGAAAAGGGACTGCTTTTAAGGACATGCTAGGATCTCTCCTTGAAGCAAGCAGAAGCTCCGAGTTATTCAGAGTATAAACATACAAGCAGTCCGTTCACCTCATCTTCCATGCCAACAGAACATGTGAGCAAATCAAAAGAATGGCCAGGCATCAAATCACTGGGGTTTTTATGGAAGGTCTGGGGAACAGAAGTTTCTCCCCTAAAATCCACAAACGGATTGGCACTTTGAAATCTACAGACCTGAATAACATCTACATTTTGGAGAGCGCCTAATAATTACAAAATTATCCCAGATGTTGAAATAATAACAGAACTCTTATAAGGAAAACCAATTCTGACTTTGAGGACCACACGATAGTGTAGAACTGCTCCCGAGGGTTTCTGAGGCTGTAAATCTACACAAGAGATGGTCTCCCCTTTCTCCTTTGGAGTGACTGGTGGATTCGGTCTGCTGACTTTGATGCTCGCAGCCCGACATTTAATCCACGATGACACCAGGAGTATATAGCAGCCTAACACAAATCTAGACTTTGAACTTCAAAATACTCATTTTAATTCTACCCATATAAGCTCACTCAGAATCCAAATCTGGACCCTATTCTAAGTCAGTTTCATTGTTTGCAATGATAATATATTTACATATTAATAGTTTTAATGAGCGAGGGAGACACTGAAAGGAGTAAAAAATTATTTGGAATACAGTGGAATGACGGTTTGTAGTAAATTAAGAAAGGAAGGGTATCAAAACACTCTTTAAGACTTTAAAAATCAGGTTCAGACTTTTTAAAAAGTTCTCAAATGGGCTGAGATGAAAATTCTTAAATTTAAATTTTGCATCCGTCTGTATCTTAGTCAATGTAAGACACAACAGATATTTACTTTCACAACTCTGCCTTGAAACCCCAGCGAGTTTTTAAAAGCAGGTTCTGAGCCTGACAAATAATAAAGTAAGATCTTGCAACAGATTCAAACAACTCTATTGTACACCTGGCCTTAAATTCGAGCATCTATGCAACAACATTCTTGAAAAGAACTCGTCTCTCTTTAGCCATTTTTCTAGTTTATTTTCAATACTGGATGTAACCTACGTGTTTTGAAGCAGCACACATATACAATTGTCAAGGAATCTTGTATTAAAAAATATGACTTTAAAATTTTTTTTATATCTTTTGAACTAAGTCTCCTTTGCCAGGACTTTAAGAAAAAAGAACAATAATTTTAAAAGTGCTTCCCATTATACACCTATGTGCACCTCCTCTCCTGAAAATCTGAAAAAGCCTGGGAGCTTCAAAAGGTTCATATAAAAAAGGGAACTAAAAAAAATGGGCAAGAGGTTTACCTAAGAAAGAACAAGGCTGACCTGAGCAATATGTGCTTAGGAATACATACATGTATACCTAGCTGGACGAAACTCCCGCCAAAGAGGAAGCAAAATCCATTCAAAAAAATAGAGAAATAATCTTTAAAGCAACGCAACTCCAAGTGTCCCCCATACTTACTTGTAAGTCTTTTTTCAATTTTAGCAAATCTTCATTTTCTCCATTCCCAGATAACGCAGCTTCAACTTGCTGGAGTTGAGCTTTGTAGCTTGCCAGCTGCTTTGCTAGATCCTCGGACATCTGGGAAGGTCGGGGTGGGGTGTAATGGGACAAGGAATAAACGATCAGAACAATGGAAGGCACATAGCTCCCAAACCTCCCACAAAACCGTAACATACACCATATATACTTGTGTATAAACCGAGTTTGTCAGCACATTTTTTTTAAGGCAGTTTTGGTGGTAAAATTAGGTGCCTGGGCTGATATTCGGGTCGTCTTATACTGGAGTACATATGGTATGTTTCCAGTCTGCCACAATTAGTCCTTACCAGTTTTCTTCCTAACACCTTATTTTAAAATTGTACCTCATCATCATCCCCTTCTTGTTTAGTTCAGAAAAAAGTTGCAGGCCAAAGCGCAAAGATGAAGGCAATGGATTCTGATGGTTGTAAACATGTCAGGTAAATCCCATACAGTGAGAGAAGCAAAGACGACGGCAAGAGCTAAGTCAAGGGTCGAAGGGAGATTTCTAAGTTTCCTTTGACACTTATTACACGGTCGACACAAATGATTTCGACTCCCTTAAGGTTGTTTTAGCTTCTAAAAGATTAATCTGTTGGAACTTTTCCGATTCTTTTTAAAGACACAAGCCTATTTCCAAAACCAACTACTAATGCTTCTCAAATAATTACATTAAGAATGTTCTACTTGAGCTATTCAAATATTAAGAATTTATTTAGATGCTCTTGTTCAGAGCAAAATTATCCCACCCAGTCACTTAAATAGTGCCGCTGCATTTTCTGCAGTAAAAACAAACAGCACAAATATTCTCCCGTGTAAGTGTTCCGACGCCTTTCATCACACCCGTTCACTCATACTCTTGAAAATAAGATACGAATTAAGCGTGTGACGAGGATTTAGGAGAGATTGGTCCTTTTCTTAGAAACTCGGACAGGCCGGAATCTGGAAAAGCCCCAAAGGTTTGGCTAAAGCAGCCAGGCTGTTGCCCGCAGCGACTCGGAGCCGCCTCCCGGAGGCCGGCCACCAACTTCCCGGGAAGCCGCACGTCCCCGGCCAGCCCTTCCCCGGAGCGGGCTCCCACGGGGCCTCGGCGCCCGGCCCGGCCCCGCCCCGCCCGACGGCTTCTCCCGGCAGCCTCGTTCGAAGCCCGGCGGCCGCGGCCGGGCCGGGGAGGCCAGGGATCGGCGGTGGGTGGGCGAGGCGGCCATGGCTCTGGCCGGCCGGCCGGCGCCCCAGGCCCCGCGAGCACGGCGGGCCCCTCGGCCTGAGGGCTCCGCTTCAACTCCGAGAAACCCAGGCCCAGGAGGTCGGCTTGCCTGCCCGCCCGCCCCCGCGGCGGGTTACCTTGGGTGGCGCCGGGGCCGGGGCCGGGGCGGCGGGCAGGGGCCGGGGCGGCGGAATCCACGGGGAGCGGCAGCACGGGGAGCCTCCGCAGGATCCACAACAGGCGGCCGGCCTTGGAAAAGGAACAAATCAGTCAGCGACAGGGGGGAGGGGAGCAAGCCAGACACGGGCAGACAGACCACCCATAGGCGGACACGTTCTCGCGATGTTTGCCAAAGCTCGCGAGACTTCGCTCGACGCTTAGCCTTCAGGCCGCGGGCTCTTGCGTAAACGGGCAGGGGTTCGTAGGGCGGAAGTGACGTCATGAGCTGCGCTGGGCGCAGAATATAAATCAGTTCCGGCTTGCGGAAATGTGGAATCGTTCAGTTGCGGGGGTGGCAGGAGGGGCGGGGGCCATGCTTCCCACCCTGAGCGGTAATCGGCTTGGGCCTTCTTCGGCGGGTAGTGCAAGGAAATGAGGGGCACAGATTTGGAGTCTTTATTCTACTGGTTGGTTCTCAAAATGTAGTCCCAGGACCTACAGCGTCAGCACCCTCTGATAATTTATTAGCTATGGGAATCAAGCACGTCCTACCTCGCAACTCCAAATGCAAGGTCCGGAGTCAGAAGCCGAACATGTCAGAAAGCCAAAGGAAGTCGTTGCCCTGGAAGGAGGTCACAAAGGGGAAGGCTTTGATGGAGGCGTGCTTTTGTCTGAGCCGGCCATCCTCCCATGGAAAAAAAAAGGATGGTGACTTGAACCACACTGTCCAATAAAAGCGCAGACTCAAGAGTACATCCCACTTCAATCTTGTCCATCAGTGTGGGAACGCCTTACAATGTGGGAGTATAGCCACAGTATAGCTATCACAAAAGGGATTATGGCCGGAAGGGCCATATTAAGTAATTGATTACATCTCATTTAAGAAGGTCCGAAATGTCTCTCAAATGGACTCTTGCTTTAGAGCCCCCTCCTCTCTTTACAAAAAGTTTTATTGGCATATACTTCACATAGCATACAACTTAATCACTAAGTCATAGGAAGATTTGTGCAGTATTTACAATCAATTCCAGGACATGGTTTGTTTTTTTTTAATCATTTTATTGGGGGTTCATACAGCTCCTCTCACCATCCATCCATCCATCCATGTGTCAAGCATATTTGTACATGTGTTGCTATCATCATTTTCAAAATATTTTCTTTCTACTTGAGCCCTTGGTATCAGCTCATTTTTTCCCCTACCTCCCCCCCTTTCTCCCTCATGAATCTTTGATAATTTATAAATTATTACCATTTTTTCATGTCTTACATTGACCAATGTCTCCCTTCACCCACTTTTCTGTTGCTCATCCCCCAGGGAGGGAGGTCATATGTAGATCATTGTGATCGGTTTCCCCTTTCCAGAACATATTCTTGTACTGGTTGTTGCTAGCTCCCCTTTTCCCCCATCTCCCACCGCCATACCCCTAAGCAATCCAGTTACTCTCACTGTAGATCTACCTATCCTGGATTTCATATACGGAAAATCATACAACGCACAGGAAGCAAAACTAAAAACAAAACCAACAGCGACTAGACAAACTATAGAAAACCATAGGGGAGAACAAAAGCAGAAAGTACTAAAAACGGAAACAACTTTGAAATGGGTCAAAGAGATCAAAGGATAAGGTATTATATTTAACCTAACTACATCTATGACCTAATTTAAGGTGACCAGGCGTCCCGCTTTTGGCAGGACAGTCCCAATTTTTCTCACATCCCGCGGCGTTTTAAAAATATCCCAATTTTTGGAAAGAATGCACGACAAGCTAGGGTAGACGGTTTTTGGCTGCCATGTAGCTATTTCACCAGGATATGAGTTTTATCAATGGTGTCCCACTTTTGTCCCGCTTTACCAATGTTAAAATCTGGTCACCGTAAGTCCTAACTACATCTATCATAATCAGCTACAATGATCTCTGTCTGATAGCGAAGCTATTCACACTCCTATGATCAGGGGAAATTTACAGAAGTCTTAATGCATGTGGGGGCCCTGCAAATGGGTTTTGGGCTTCCACTGTAATCCATAGCCTTGTACAAACTAAGTGTCCACAATTTAAGCTCTGACACCAGCCCTTCCTTCAGATTTGGATTTTATTATTTAAAATCCTTGGATCCCATAGGCTGGTGTGCTTCCATGTGAATTTAGCCCTCCCCCCACCCTTTTTTATTTTTTAGCTCTTCCCCATTGACTTTTATTTTGATATCATATCAAACTGGAAGTTTAAAGAAAATTACACAAAAACTCATATCCCTTCATTTGGATACATGGTTCACTCATGTCTTACATTTGGATACACTTGCTTTATCATTGGATCTGGGTGTTTGTATACACATGTAAACATACAACCATGTATGCAGACTTTTTCCCCTGAATCTTTTAAGACACAACCAAGACATCATGCACCTTCCCGCCTGTTAGCACTTCAAAGAGGCATTCTGCCACTGGACCTCCTTTCCTGACTGCTGTTGTTGATTGTGAATCCACGGAAAAACCCAGTCCTGAGTTTATCCAGGGTTCGTGATGTTGCTCTTGCGGGTCCAGTTGTGAGGACGTTTGTTCTTCTCTATGTTGAAGTGTCATCCGTGTTAAAGGCTGTGGGCTTGGAGCCTCATCAATGTTTCAAATCCTCTTTACTCTCAGCAAGTAAGATGGTGTCATCTGCATATCACACATTGTGAAGGAGTCTTCCTCCTACCTCGATGGCAGGTTCTTCTTCATATACTCTACTTTCTCAGATGATTTGCTTAGCATACAAATTGAATAAATATTGTTAAAGGGTATGACCCTGATATACACTTCTTCATTTTCAACCATACAGTATTCTCTTGCTCCGTTTGAGTGACTACTGGTTTGGTCTATGAGCACAGTTAAGTGTTCTGCAATTCCCTTAAAAAAAAGATCATTTTCTTGGGGGCTCTTACAGCTCTTATAACAATCCATATATCACTTGTATCAAGCATATTTGTGCATATGCTGCCATCATTATTTTCAAAACATTTACATTCTATTTAAGCCCTTGGTATCAGCTCCTCTTTTTACCCTCCCGCCCCCTCTCCCACCCTTGGAACCCCTTGATAAATTATAAATTATTATTATTTTCATATCTTACACTAACCCCTGTCTCCTTTCCCCCGCAGTTTCTTCCCCTCTCCCCCCCCTTCCCCGTATCCTCCTGATATTGCTACTCCCACTTGTTCCTGAGGAGTTTCTCTGACCCATGTGTCCTGAGCTCTTATCTGTACCTGTGTACACGATCCGGGTTAGCCGGAAGTGAAAGACAGGTCTGGGGTCATGAGAGTGGGGGATGAGGAAGCCTCAAGGAACCAGAGGACTATTATGTGTTTCATCGGTGCTATACTGCATCCTGTGTGGGAAACTCACACTGAGGGAAATATCGCAAAGACTACATTCCCTAATTTAGAGGGAATCGAAAGCTAGTATTCCACGGGAGGAAAGCCTCCACTTTGGTACATAGATTTAAAGTTCAAGTACATTATCCTGCTTTAAATATTCACACAGATTCTTTCTATAACAGTTATGCTGCCTTAAAGTGAATACATGGTTGATTATATCTCCCTGTAGAAGCGAACATCCTTTTCTCTCTTCCCAACCCCCCTCATGCCTTTCCTCAATGCAGGTATTCAGTTTCCTCACCTATGAGCTCAGGGACCTTAAGGTAGATACCACCTGCCTTGTGATGCATGTACTGCTGAATATGCATGTCCTATGGCTATCTATCAATGTCCCAAGATAGTAAAGGCGCTTTCTCTTCTCCCAGTTCCACGTGGACCATCAAGAGGGACTGAGGTGAGCAAGCTACCATAAAATGTGTCTGACAACCAAAAAGTGGATGAAGGAAGACGTCGGACAGGGCAAGATATGACAAAATACCCATTTATAAACTATCAAGGGCTCATGCGGGAGGGGGGAGCAGGGAGGGAGGGGAAAAATGAGGACCTAATGTCGGGGGTTTAAATGGAGAGAAAATGTTTTGAGAAACGATGTACAAATGCGCTTTACACAATTGATGTGTGTATGGATTGGGATAACAGTTGTATGAGCCCCTAATAAAATGTTAAAAAAGAAAAAAAAATAAATCAAACTTTGTGTAGTAAAAAAAAAAAATGTGTCTGAATCTGAATGCTTTATTTGACTCTCTCCCCTCTCTTCCTTATCCTCTATTACTTTATTTTCACTGTACAATTGCGCCTACTGGCCCTTCGGTTGTTGGAGGCCGGTTTCCTCTGACAACCCTGGTT